AACGCCCCCCGTTCCCCGTCCCCTGACCCCCCCCCAGAGGCTCTGCCCCCTCCAACTGCTCCTTGCCCCTTATCCAACCCCTCCTCCCAGTCCCGGCCTGCCCCCCTTACCATGCTGCTGTGTAAGGATGCTGCGTGGCCACTGGAGCTTGCAGCCCCACCCCCTTACCATGCCGCTCAAAGCGGCAGGAGCTGCAGAGCTTCCCAGAGCGCTTGCGCCGGCAGCGCGGTGCACTGGGGCTCTGCGGGGGAGAAGGGAAGTGGGAGAGGGGCTGGGGGAGCCTCCCCAGCTGGGAGCTCAGGCGGGCCAGGCAGATGGTTCCACGGGCCGGATGTGGCCCGCGGACCGGAGTTTGCTCACCCACCCGCCCCTTTAGGAACCGGTTCTACACTGGCTTCTAAATTTAACAACCGGTTCTTGCGAATCGGTGTGAACCGGCTCCAGCTCACCGCTGCTTACAGGTAAAACGATTCTGTACCTCTGTACCTCTGGCCAGGAGGGATTTTGTGTTACTGCATACATAAAGGTTGTTACCCCTTCCCTTTATATTTATGACAACAATCAATTGTCTTAGTTGATGGTAGCCATCAAGATTCCAAACCACCATTAATGGCCCACACTTTGCATAATTACAATCGGACCTCCGAGTTATATTTCATATTTCTAGTTTCGGATATCGGAATGATACATTTATACAAATAGGTTGAACACACTCAGTAGATTATAAGCTTTGTAATGATACCTTACAAGAGACCTTTTGCATGAAGCATATTCCAGTTATATTCACACTTATTAGCATATTTTCATAAAAGCATATGGAGTACAGCATCACAGGCTGGCCTGGTGGCCCAGCCATCTTTGCAGGGTTCAATGCTCCCCGTGACAGAGCTGCCTGCGAGTGGCCGGTGTGCTGAGTTTGCTGATCAGTTTTGCTGTCTGGGTTTCACCTGTGGGAGCTCCGGCTCCTGCCCACCTGGCCCAGGGGGCGCACCCAAGTTCCCAGCAACGCTGTGTCGCACAGGGCACAGACGGACTCGCCTGGCCCTGCTAACCTGGCCTGGATGGGTGGGGTAGAGAAGTGTGTCCAACTGCTCCCCAGGGACCTAAGGGGTATGTCAGCTCTCAGGGGAGCCTTAAATCCATAGAGGACAAGGGTGACTCTGGATCTGGCCCCCAGGCCTTGGCCTGCACTAAGCAGGTTGATGAGAGCTGCACTGTCTCCAGCATGCCCCCTGGCATGGGGACAGACCTAGCCAAGGAGGAGAGAGGGGACGTGACTGCAGACTAGCGGTGAGGTGCATAGTGTCTACCCCTGACTCTTGGGCACATCCGCAGCTCCCCATATTAGCCAGCAGGGAGCACTAATAAGCAGGACTCCCATTGTCTCCTCCTCCCCACGTCTGTCTCTCTCCCAGCCTGGCTGGCAAGCACCTGCCTGAGTCAGCCTCTTGCATGGCACTGGCACCCCACCGGTCTGGTGCCTGCATGCGGCACTCACCACAGTCCATGCTGAAGCACAGCATTGGAGCTGGGGCAGAGCCTGGCAGTGGGCCACACTGGCACCCATCTCACCCTGCTGCAGCAAAAGCTCCTCCAGGCAAATGCCCCTTCCTGAGGACTCAGCCATGGCACCTGCCTCCAGGCAGGCCCTTCACGCACAGGAGGGGTGCTGAGCTGGCCTGCCCCAGCAGAAGGATTGCAGCCCCTTGGGCAGTGGGGTCACTCCTACACAGGGGCATCGGGGCACTGGGAAGTTATGGCTGCAGGGTTGAAAGGGACTGACGGAGTTGGGTGCCCAATGCCCAGGGGATCTCCACACCTTTGAAAACACCAGCTTAGGTGACTTGTTCAAGGTCACACAGGAAGGCAGAGTTGGGAATAGAACTCAGGAGTCCTGGCTGCCCCAGACCCTACTCCCTTCCAGCTGCCAGTGCCGTTTTGAGCACTAGACACGAGCCCTTCCAGAGCTGAGAGTGGAACCCAGGAGTCCTGGTGCCGGTCCTTGCTCTCAGCGCTAGCCGCGTCGGCTTTTGGGTTCCTTTGTTTGGTGGGACAGGAGAGTGAAACATGTCCCAGGCTGTCCTGTGCATCCCCTCAAGGAAGTACAGGTGAACTGAAGTGTGCAGTGCTCCTTTCTGCTAGTTACAGCCCCAGGCCAGGAGCCGGATGTGCTGTCCGCCCCCAGCTCCTCTCTGCCCCGGTCCCAGCGCTGAGCTAGCCGCTGCCAGCCCACCCCAGCCCAGCTGGGGGGTGTCAAGGAAATGCAGGTGCCCTAGGGCGGGGCTGGGAGGAGGAGCTGCTCAGATGGGGCCGGCATTGGGCCAGGAGCTTGGTACAAACTGGCAAACAGCACCGGGAAGCCTGCAACGGGGAGTGGGCCGCTTTACTGTGCCCCCACAACTGGGCAATTGCCCCTCCAGTCTGCTCATGCTCTCTGTGCTGGGGGGGTGGGTGGGCAGCGTGTGGGGCCAACAGTACGGGGGTTGTTGGCCTCGGCTGTCCCCCACCCACTAGGAGTTCACTGTTCCCGAGGCGAGAAGTCACTGTGTGGAGTTCCCTGCCACCTGGGCTCATAGGCCACGTCCAGCGAGTGGGTCGTCCTACAGCCATTCACGTAGGCTGGCGGTTGGTTATCAATTCTCATGCCATAGGACAGCAGCTGGTTGCTGCAGGGGTCAGGCAGGAACCCCCAGTCCCACCATGCTACGTAAATTAGTGGGAAGGGGGCTTTTGCCTCCTTCTGGAGCATCAAGAGTTCTCCGTTGCTGGGGTCTGGCTCGTGGTCCAGGCCCACCCAGCACAGCCCATTCTCAAGGTGACAGGCCCAGCACATGCTGCCACACACTGCCGTTTATCCGGGGGAGCCGGTGTTGGGGGATGGGGTTTGTCTCAGGCTCTGCTTCCCACAACCCCTTCCTTGGTCCCTGGAGCGTGTCCCGATGTCTCTCCCCTCCAGCCTGCTGCAGCTCTGTGCTTGGGCCCAGGGATGGCCAGCGGCTGTGGGCTGGTGACCCTGAGCACAGTGCGGAAGCAGCGCAGGCAGCGAGTGATAGCGAATGAATTCCCTTCCAGCGCGTGATCCGCAGCCGCAGCCAGTCCATGGATGCCATGGGCCTCAGCAGCAAGAAGCAGAACACGGTGTCCACCAGCCACAGCGGCAGCTTCGGCCACAACAACCCAGACATGGCCAAAACAGCGGGCATAGTGAGTGTGACCGTCCCCGCATCCCTGCTGGGCCTGCTTCTGCTCTGAGCCCCACCTGTCTGACCCCATCCTGCCCTGAGCCCCGCCTCCTGCTCTGAGCCCCGCCTGTCTGACCCCATCCTGCCCTGAGCCCCGCCCCCTGCTCTGAGCCCTGTCTGATCCCATCCTGCCCTGAGCCCCGTCCCCTGCTCTGAGCCCCACCTCTCTGACCTCATCCTGTCCTGAGCCCAGCCCCCTGCCCTGAGCCCCGTCCCCTGCTCTGAGCCCTATCTGTCTGACCCCATCCTGCCCTGAGCCCCATCCCCTGCTCTGAGCCCCACAGCTTTAACTCCCCCATTGTGTGACCAAGCCCGCCCAGGAGGCTGTGTGGTCCAGTGGTTAGCATAGGGGAGCTTGGAGTCGGGATTCCCAGGTTCCTTGCCCAGCTCTGTCACTGACTGGCTCTGTGACGTGGGGTGAGTCATAGCCTCGCTCTGTGCCTCAGTTTCCCCACCTGTTCCAGGGAGAGAGTGGGGGCTGTGAGGCATAGTAATCGATGCCTGTGGAATGCATGGAGATCCTGGAGGGAAGGGGCTAGGGAAGGGCCAAGCACCGGTGTCAGTCCCCGCTGGGAGTGGGAAGAGGAAGCACTAGCCTCAGGGTGGGGTGAGTTCACCCAGTCCTCAGAACCAGCCCACTGCCAAGCTCTTAGGTGCTGGCACCATCGTGTGGCCATGCCACTGCACTGCACTGCACTTCAGCTCAGTTTACAGCTCCCTGCCCCTGTACGCGGCTCCCCCCTTGTCCAGTGGTGGCCCTGGCTCTGCTCGGTGAGGGCGACAGCCAGGCAAGGTCTGAGGGATGCATAGGATGTGCCAGCTACTGTGCATGTTGGGTAAAGGAGGGCTTGTTTGCATTAAATGGCCATGTGCCCCCAAAGGAGGATTGAGGCCCCAAAGTTGGGCAGGGAAGGAGATTGGGCTGCACTCGGTGGTGTTACCGCCCTGGAATGCTGGGCTCCATGGCTGTGCTGAGCGTGGCAAAGGCCAGTCCCCCACCATGGGCTCCTGCTCCTACGGAAAGCCCTGGCCACGCTGCCGGTCCTGGCAGTGACAGCAGGAGCTGAGCCCCCGGAGCCCAGGGATGGTTGGCTAGGCTTCAGGGGAGGAGAAGTGCCAGCAGTCTGGGGTTCTATCCCTAGCTTGGACACTGACTCGCGGTGTAGCCTTAGGCAAACCATGGCCTCCTCTGTGCCTCAGTTTCCCCAATTGTGAGAGATTGACCTGCCTGGGGTGGGGTGCAAGGAGGAGTTTGCTTTTGTCTGCAAAAGTTGCCCTGAGCTAGCCCCCTTCTCTTCTGTGTCATGCAGTCCTGCCCCCTTTCCCAGCTGCTCCCCACCCACCTTCATCTCTCCCCACTGTGCAAGCCCCACAACACCCCCTCAGGCCTTCCCATGAGATCTGCCAACTCCAAATCAACCATCCAGCGCCAGTAGCTGCTCAGTGGGGATCTCCACCACAGATACAGTATCTCCCCACATAGCCCACCATGACACCCAAATGCGCATCCAGCGACGGGCAACTACAAGGTGCTGTTAATGAGCCCTTTGTTACGATGGTCAAGCCATTTTTTTTGCATGACTCTCTTCTCTTTTTCTCCCCCCCCCCTCTTCTCCCCCTCCCCCTGCTCTGCTTCTCTCCTCTGTCCGCTTGCCAGTCATTGCTTGTCCCTGGAAAAGCGCCAAGTAGGTGCGGACGTCGAGGCAGCGCCATAGGGATAGGAACCATAGAAGAGGTTGATGTCTCTCTCTCTCTCTCTCTCTCCCCTCTCCCTGCACCCCTTTCCCCTCTGGAGCCAGCGCTGTTCTTGCGATGGGGGAGCTGGGCCGCAGTGGGGACATTGGCTGGCTGGGCCTGGCTGCCATCCCAGCATGCAGGGCAGCCCGGCTGGGCCTCTGGTGCTGCAGGGTGGTGCTTCTCTGCAGCTAAGTTCGAGGGGTCGGGTAGGGAGAGAGGCGTGTCAGCCTCCCTGGTACCTGCTGCTTTCACCCCTGCCTAGGTATTGGCACCCAGAGCCCCTTGGTCCTGCTGCCTTCCACCCCTTGCGGTGTCCAGCCCTTGCAGCTGCCTCCCCGCCTCATAGCCCAGGGCCTTTCCTCTCCTCAGGCCCAGCAAAGTGGAGCGATTCCCCCTCCAGCCCTCTGCCCCAGGCATGGCCTCACTGCAGAGTGAACTCGCGTTCTCACCAGCCTTGCCCCTCCCACTCCCTCCGCACACGCCGGGCCGTGGCCGTAGCTCCGGCGGGTACAGACTACAGCTCGAGTGTGCATCTCTCGTCAGTTGCTACAGTGACCACTCTGCAGTGAGGATGCAGCTAGCTGCCAGTGGTGCCAGTCTGCAGGGCCGGTGCAACCACTAGGCGAACTAGGCGGCCGCCTAGGGCGCCAAGTGGTTGGGGGCGCCAAAAAGCGTGCTCAGGGCAGGCGGTGGAGTGGAGGTGAGCTGGGACAGGGGGGCGCGGAGAGGGCTGCCTGCAGCAAGTAACGGGGGGGGGCGTGCAGGGGAACCGCTCCCCGCCCCAGCTCACCTCTGCTCCGCCTTCTCCCCTGAGCGCGCCGCCCCCTGCTCTAATTCTCCTCCCCTCCCAGGCTTGCCGCGCCAAACAGCTGATTGGCGCCGCAAGCCTGAGAGGCGGGAGAAGTGGAGCAGCGACGGCGTGCTCAGGGGAGAAGGCGGAGCGGAGGTGAGCTGGGGCGAGGAGCTACCGCGGGGGGGCACTGCAGGGCGGAGGGGGGGAACTGCCACACGGGGGGCGCCTCAGGGCTGGGGAGCTGCCGCGGGGGGGGGGGGCTCTCCGGGGCGGGGGGGGGGCGGGGAGCTGCCGCAGGGGGGACTCCCTGGCTCTTCCCCATGGCCTCCGCCCCAACCCCGCCCTCACT